GTCGCCATGCATTTATGTTCAGCCCTGCCTCCTCAAAGCATCTCAGTTTCCGTCTTGTCATAATCACTTCAACCACCCGACACGACTCGAAACCGAATGTTAAAACAAGTATATGAGAAGAAAAGTTCGGTTTCGAGGACTGATTTGTTTGGGAATTGTTGAGCTTACTTCAATTTATAATGAAAGTGTTTGATGAAGAAATTCGAAGGTCGATCCCAGCAGAAGACGATAGCCAATTCCCCTTGACCACCTGTCGATTGGCTCTACTGGAACATTCATGTTGACGCTGTTTTCGAGGTAATCGCCTTCTATTCGGACGAAAACGTGCTAAGCTTTCGTCCGTTATATGAAAGAAAGCATCAGATCAGACTATCATCTTTACAACTATGCACAATCGAAAGAGTCAAGAAAACATAAAATAAATATTGTGACGTTACTTTACATTTCCAGTTTTATAGACGCGTTAGCTTGAATATTGTTGTAAGGATGATATCCTGCTCTGATGATGTCCATCATATGAAGGACGAAAGCTTAGCACGTCTCCACCAGAATCTGACGAGGTTACCTCCGAAATAGCGTCAAAAAGAATGTTCCAGTAAAGCCTATTTACGGCTGGTCAAGAGAATTCAGTCGGCGTCTTCTGGTGAGATTGGCTTACGAACCTCTTCATAATGTACTTCCATACGAGTTCATCATTTTCATAGTGGCATTGTTGTTGACGAGGAAACCAAATTATATTCTTCTTTTTGGCATAACACAACATTCCTCACTATACGGCAATCTTCCTTTAGCTTTCGATGAGACTACATCGCGAATTCCTGCCTACCAACTTTCCTTTCGAAACGGAAGGTCATATCACAAAATATCGCTAATAAGCATGTCGAAGCCCAGTTTTTCTGTATAACTTTAAAAAATATTAAGTCAACCAGTCATGCTGCTTTCAGTAACTTCATGCTTCCGTTACAACTAGCCCATCAAAAGCTGTCTATATAAAAGTAATTTTTTACATAAGCATGGGGTATCGGCATAGAAGTGATCCAGTTGACAGTCGAAATCCTCACTAATAAAATAGCATTCAACAAGAAACTCGGTTTTGAATAATCTCTTGAGATACCAATGTTATTGATACTTGGATTTCGTATGAATCGCCTGATGAAAAGACGACGAATGACTTCTGCTGCTTTGCAGACGTTCAGATTTATCCGCGAGTCCTCCTTCCTCGTATCGTCAGAGATGGAAACCATGCTTGTAAAGTCCTCTTCACTTAGAACAGAACACCGGGAATCAGTTTACTTATTCCGGTGACATCAACCTATAAATCTCTTCATCGAACAATTTTACATGCCACGAAAGTCGGCACAACAATCCCCGTTGTTTATAGCCAATAGACACACATTTTTGGCACCCTAAGCTTGTAGCTTACGACCATTTACAATCTTTCACACCCAGGCCTGACATGGTAAATTACAATAGCCGGCGAATGAACGAATGTGTCTACCTCTGAATTACTTCTTGTTGCTTATCCGAAGTGCCGTACACCGGAGTCAGACGCAGGAATGAACCCTCCGGAGGCTGGCGCTGGCACCAGTAAGGAAGAGTCCACCAGGTCGGAGCCTTTTTTGCGAACAGATTAGTCCAGCCTTGGTCATCTTTGAAGTACTGCAGCACATTTGGCAATGAGTAGTGTGGTGGTTTGCCAGAGCAAAAGAAACAGAAAAGGAACATATAGCATTAAATGATTATTAAACAAGAAGAATTAAAAAATGGAGTTGGAAAAAGTTGCTAATTTACCCTAGTTACCAGGACTAGTAAATCATATTTTGCGTAGATAAGTAGGAAACGATGAAAAT